AAAAAAAAAAAAAAAAGAATTGACAAGAAAGGAGGAAAGACTAAATTCTTAAGGGGAACTTATCTTTAGATCCTAGTCAGTAATGCAGAAAATATATGTACAAATATAAGAGCTGCACTATTAAATTTCTGTTTTCATGTTTAATATTTTTAGCACCCATAATGGTAGTAATGAAATCATGTAAAAATAAATAAATGAATGTTATTTGAATTTACTGTCACAATTTAAATGTTTAATCCTTTTTATTGTGGCTATAAAGTAATTTTTCTCTTTTACCAGATGATTAAGAAAGCCATTAATAATGTTAGAAGAATGACTTCTCATCCAACTCTTCCTTACTGTAAGTTGAATAATAATTAGCAATTGTCATTTCTTATTCTTGGATCTATATTTGGTAATTTTATTATAAGAAATGTATGGGAACCTTTTTGTTTTAATTGAAAGCATTTGTTTGACTTTTTTTCTAGAGAATATTTGCCAGTAAAATAACATCTTCATTTCAAAACTGGGTAAAAATAGAAAAAGATATTTCCCTAAAAGAGAAGGCTAACTTAATACAGTAATTTTTTTGGCATTTTGACTACCAGTCAAAATTTGTGACTACCAATACACAAAATTAGTGTATTTGTAAATTAACACATTTTATCTTTGAACATTTCTGGATTCCTTTGATCATGCTTAATTATAGTGAATAATTGTTTTAATAGGACCACTGCTAACCTTTATTACATAAGCCACAACCATACCTCAATTATTTATTTCATTATAATCAATTTGTATTTTGTTGCTTTTTTTCCGTTTGTCTTTTATGAGACACATTAATATTAAACATAGGAAATGATTATCAGTAAATTTTTATATTCTAAGGCAGAATGTATTTGTTTTCAGTAATCTTCCTAGGAATCTCAAAAGTTTCTCTTCCTTCAACCAAGAACTTAATTAATGGGGAATTTATTGGAGGTATTGATTCTGGTGGGTTGGAATCAAACCTCACATTGGTGTGTGAGTATTCCAGTTTTTTTAATATGATTTTTTAAAGTTATGCCATTTGTCAAGTTGTCCTACCACACAGTAACAAGAATAGTGCATGTTAATTAATAGGTATTCATGTTCCCCCAGTTTAATAGCCTAATTAAAACTTTAGAAACTTTTCTCTTGGGAGATATTCTGATAAAATGCAGTTAACAAAATCAGTATTTTTTTCTGCTTCATTTATCATAAATGCTCTAAGAATCTATTATCAAAATTGTATACCCTATACAAAAAAGGCTCAAGAGAACCATTTATTTAAAATGAAAAGAATAACATCTGTTACTTACACTAGAGGTATAAAATAACATAAAAATTTGTTTTCACTACATCAAATTTATTCATCACTAGAAGTATTTTTTACCCACAAGTTTAATGTGAAGTGAGAACTAAAATACACCCAAAAAGCCTATAGAAAAAGTACATAGAATTAGGTCTGTAAGACTCCTAAGCAGAGGAGCTTCTGTCCCCTTGGACTTGGGTGTACTACAAACCTGGCACATGGATGTGTTCACCACCCAAGAAACTCATCAAATCTCCTTATTCAAGAGTTTTTATAGAACTTAATCTCCATCTCCCCTCCCCACCCTTTTCTGCAGGTTGGCAAGTGGGACCAAAGGTTCCAATCCTTTAGGCTATAAATGGGACCCCCTTTAAGTCACTATATTAACATAAATTCAGGTTCTCTTCCAAGGGTTTTAGTAGCTGTATGCCAGGATCCAGGGATAGAGACCAAATCTATATTGTATGTCATACTGGGTCATTTTTTTCCCCCTTCCAAAATGTTTAATGTGTTTTCCCTTTTTAATAAATACATGTTGAAATCATATTACATGATAGGTTCTATGTAAGCCTAGCTGAGTAAGTGAAGTTGGCTCTGCTGCAACATTAATAAGGAATCTCAGATAAGACTTTTAAAAACTTCTTGAGGCTCAGAAGCCAAGCCAAGGACTTGCCATCTGATTTCACCTGCAATCCTATAGATTTGGGTTAATTCCTCTCTTCGTGAGGTCCTCAGAAAATCCTGGGGTTTCTGTGTCTGCTGCGAAACGATAGTCCTTACTCTTCTCTAAGGCAACCATATAAAGGATTATATATGTACAGTACCAGGCCTTATTTGCTCTGTAAAGTCAGCTTTTCATTCCTTAAAACTGTCTGGGTCATATCTGTTTCTGTGCATAGTCTCCAATATGATACACAAGTCAAAGCCTTGGTATTATGAATGATGTTTCCAATTATGTCCTGCTGTAAGAAGGACACGTTCTTTTTACTTTTACTCCTGGTTGTAAAGAACAGATTCTTATTGAACTTATGCAAATGAAAATAAGAATACTCACTAATAGCTTTTGAATTCAGGAGAGATCAGGTAGGGAAAAAAAGTTAATTCTTTTATCTTAGTTCACAAAGGCATACTGTACTTGGAGTAAGCTATTGAATAGCTTAAGAGAAAAGAAAAATGTTTTCTTAAATCTGGAAAACAAAATATTAAAGAACTAGCAATGTTTCAAAACCATAATTCCTAAAAAACACCATAATTTTTCTTCAATAAGTTATTCAGCCTCAGATACTTAATTCTTGTTTGGCTTGACCTTGGTTAGCAGTTTAACGAATTATAGGTTTTCTCCGTTAGAGTTCTGCAAGTTCTTACAGTGTCCAATGATAGGATCTAAACATTATGAGAAACTGGTGCCTTTCCGAGTCTTTTCCATGAAGCTCCTTCAAGACAGCACTTTAGGATTATAGTTACTTGCAAATACTTTCAGAAAAAGATCAGATGAAACAATAACCATCTGTCAGTAACAAAAGACTTAACATGGCCACGGCTAAAGATCTGCTGTGAATTCATTATCATAATGACACAATTGACAAGTAAATTTTATTGCTTCTGTGGCATACAGTAGTTTAACAAAATAACTGGAAGTATGGCTGGTAACATTATACCAGATTTTTAGGAACTTCATACAGTTTCTAGGATACTTATCTCATAACATACATCCATACAAATATAAGAAGGTATCACCTTTATTTGACAATACTTCCCATGCAATTTAACATATCAATTAAGCCTAATTAGTTTAACAAAGCCTACTTGTTTTAACATTCTTCTTTGTTGAGAGAGAGAGAAGAAATTTTTTTTAGGTATTCCAGGGGCCCTTTGGAAACTCCCAAAGTTAGAGTGAGGTCAAAAGTACTTTATTTATAATGTATTTGCTGGAAATTTGTCAGAAATACCAAACGGTTTAAAACACTTGATTATAATAAGGTTACTGTGGAAAAATATTTAACCAGTGATAATTAAGACTTCAAAGGAAAATACAGAAAGTTACATCGTTGTAGAAAAAACTTTAGCTATTTTAATATAGAGAAGACTCAGTTTTCTTAGGTAATCAATACCCAGAAAGACATGAATATAGGAAATTATCTTGAAAAATCTGGATTTTGTAGTAAGATTGCTTACAAGGTAAAGGAAAACCTTTCACAATCTCTTGTCAAGAGAAAACCAATAATCCAGTAAAACTTTGCACCAATTTACTTCTGATAGTAAGACTCACCATTCTTTTAATAGCATATATAAATACACAGATATTAGCCAGCCTGACCTTACATAAAATTATTTTGCTAAATTTCCCTCACACAAACCTTCTATAGCTTTCTTGCAAATATCTATGCATATTTTGTTCTGTACTCTTCCTCTTTCCCAATATGGAACAGTCTGCTTTAGGACAAAAATTTTTCTTTTTCCTATAAGAAAATCATCCTTCGTTCCTCATAGCTTCCTATTTCAAAAACATCTTATACTTTCCTGACATACAAAATTATGTATCTATTTTCAGTAGTTTTAATTACATATTTTGATTAGAATTCTTAACTGTTAACGATGTTAGTTTCTTGTGAAAACTAGGTAATAAGCAGTTGTGCACTGTCAGTCACGCAGCATTCTGTAGACTAGCAAATCTATACTCTTTCATAATTCACAGAAGCATGTTCTTTTTCATAGTGTAGTTTTTCTTTTTTTGAGACAGAATTTTGCTATCACCCAGGCTAGAGTGCAATAGTGCGACCTCAGCTCACTGCAGCCTCCTTCTCCCAGGTTCAAGTGATTCTCCCGCCTCAACCTGCTTGTCACACGCCCGGTAATTTTTGTATTTTTAGTAGAGACGGGGTTTCACCATGTTGGCCAGGCAGGTCTCAAACTCCTGACCTCAGGTGATCCACCCACCTCTGCCTCCCAAAGTGCTGGGATTATAGGCATGAGCCACTGCACCTGGCCATAGGATAGTTTTTCAGTGTGGCACAGGACACCTTTACTAACAAACCCAATTATCTTTATAATTATTCTGTAATAAGAAGCCAAAAGTAGATAAGCTTATGTTTAGCAATTAATGTTTTAGTATTTTACATAATTTGGAAGTGATCTAGATATTCACTTAATAGCCGTCATTTAATTAACCTTAATGAAATACTAAGGGTATAAGTTATCAAAAGGATTTGGAAAACTGTTTTGAAGTAGACATAACATCAGAGAAGGCTAGCAGTCAAGTTAGTTATTATTTATTTAGTTTTTGTTGACAAATTTTGTAACAAAGATAACAAGAGTACATTTGACTAGTAAGCCTAGGTAAAACAAAAGTTATATAAAAAGTTATATATCACATTATATATAATGTGCTGGTAACTCTAAGGATGTACCTGCTTCAATTAAACCAACAAACTTAAATTAGCTTTTTAAAATTACCAAAGATTATTGCACATCAAATGAACTTGAAAAACATTTGGGTCTGTTTCTATCTTTCTAAAAGTTTAAAGAATACTTAATTTATATAAGTGCTTATTTTTCCTTAAGCCCATTATATGTAATTATTAAAAATTAATTTTGACAATACCATCTGGTGATAGAAAAATATTGCATATATTTAACATATATGTAGTCATCCATAAACATACAGGCAAAAACAGATTCTATAGTTTTTATTCTAAATTTTAGCCATCTGCCAGATATAAAATATCAAACTCAGTAGTTTATAAAAAGGATATCTGGATCCAAATTGTGTTTCTCAAAATGGGACAAGATTACCCACCCAGATTGCTAAAACTTTACTAGTATTTGTGGAAAAAGACTTTTAAGATTTCTCGTTTGTCTTTTGTAAAGAGTCTTTTAGAGAGACAATTTGCAATTTATTTAGTCTTCTAGTAGCCTCTGCATACCAATCAAAAAATGCCTCCTACTGTTTCTGAAGCATTAGAAATCCCCTTTTTTTCCAGTGCTTCCTCTAGATGGACAATTTTGTGTAAGTTATAAACTTCCCTGTTGTTGCAACCATAATTCTAAATTGTCCTCAGTAAATGTACCCATTTCTCTAGGAAAGCACAGCTTCTGGATCCATAATGTGTACACGTAAAATTAGCTGGAGTTCCAGATGGAGTTCTTGAATTCCTTGAATTCAGATGAACCCATGATTTCTTATCCTTCCAAAATCTTATCTACCTGAGACCTCTTACTGGACCTATTCCAGTCAGGTTCAGTCTGACTTCCAGACCTGATCTGGATGAAAAATGCTTAAAGCCAGAGAACTCAGGATAAAAGTTGCAGATCTCAGGTCAAGTGGTGACCTTCAAATATGCACAGTGAGAAACAGCACAAGGGGCCTAGCAGGAGGTACCTGTGCCTGGTTACTTGTTCTTCCTGGAAGTCATCATCAAGGAACTCTGCTGAGAACTCTTAAAACATAGGCACATTAAAAATTTAATGAGTTTATTTGAGCATTTAGCTCTAATTCATGAATTGAGCAACACTAGACCAGAAGCGATCAAGGCTTCACCAAGGTAGCATGAGGGAAAAACTTTTATAAGGTGTTCAAGGAAGCAAAACATAAAAAATATTTTATTGGTAAAAGTGGCAAGCCCTTATTTAGAGGTTAGTTGGCAGTTTCTATTGATAAGCATCTAGTTAGAAGTTAGTTGGTGGTTTTTGATTAGTGAAGCGTAAGTGTCATTTTACTGTTTACACTGAATTGAGTTTTCATTTGCTCATATAGGTACCCAAGGCCCTGGAGCTGTCTTAGCCTAGTAGCCTCCCAATTAATTTCTTTTCTTGTTAACTTACTTTTTTAAGAGACACTGTCTCACTGTGTTGCCCAGGCTGGAGTTTTATGGCTATTTATGGCACAATCAAGGCACACTATAGCTTTGCATTCCTGGGCTCAAGTGATTCTTCTGCCTCAGTCTCCTGAGTAGCTAGGACTATAGGTATATGCCACCAAACCCAGCTCTTTATTTTTTAACATCATAAACAATAATAGAAAAAGTTGAGTACTATTTTTTTTTTTTTTGAGACAGAGTCTCACTCCGTTGCCAGGTGCCAGGCTGGAGTGCAGTGGCGTGACCTCGGCTCACTGCAACCTCCGCCTCTTGGGTTCAAGCAATTCTCCTGCCGCAGCCTCCCGAGTAGCTGGAACTACAGGCGCACACCACCACGCCCAGCTGATTTTTGTATTTGTAGTAGAGACGGGGATTCACCATGTTGGCCAGGATGGTTTCGATCTCTTGACCTCGTGATCTGCCCGCCTAGGCCTCCAAAGTGCTGAGATTACAGGCATGAGCCACCGCGTCCGGCTGAGTAATTTTTTTAAATGCAGCTAGCTCAATTTATTTTTCTGATTAAGCTCTGCAAGTACACTGGGGGAAAGGGAGTAGAGTCAGTCAAATACCTAGTCTCAAAAAACTATCCACCCTCCTACCTCTTCCCAATGGTAAAACATTTTAAACCAATTGAAGTTCATTTATTTGAAATATTTCATAAGGAAGGAGGGAAATTTGATATGCGATTAGCAAGTGCTAGATGTTTTATATAAATGTAATTTTTTTACTACCTCCATACCACATTAATATTGATAATTATACTCAATATAAGTTCAGTGTTGTATGTTAGGCATATTTCCGAGTACCTTATATATGTGATCTCATTTACTACTCACAGCTGTCCATTGACTTATATATCATTAGTCCTTTTTTACAGGAAGGAAATAGTCTCAGAGAATTAAGTAAATTTCCTAGTATAGCACAAATAATAAATGGCAAAGTGAAGAATTAGTAGTCATTTAGTTTATTCATATTTCTCAATTAAACAAATAACAAGTGAGGTACAGTGGCATGTGTCTATAATCAGCCTTTTGCAGGCTGAAGTAGAAGGATCACTTAAGGCCAGGAGTTAGAGAACAGCCTGGGCAACACTGCAAGACTCTGTCTCTAAAAAAAAAAAAAAAGAAAAAATTACAAAATTAAAAAATAAACAAAATATATACTTGAGATATTAGGCCAATCAGGATAACTTTTATAACTGATTTTTTTTCTGTAGCATGGCATTTAAAACCTTCCTTAATCTGATTATTTTCATAGAAAATATGTGCATATTTAAACATTAATAGTATGATAAGGATTGGCTCTAACAATCCTAAGAATTTGTTATAATGAGTATTTATTATAAAAAATTAAAGGCTATTAAGACATTGAGATAATTTTAAAGGGAAATATAATTTATAGAGATATGATCTAAATGCTCCTATTGTCTTTGAGGATGTGTTCTTAGTCAAATGAAAGTGTATCATGTAACTGATTTTATGATGAAGAGTATTCAACTGAAATTTCATACAAAGGTAAATTTGTATAAATTGATTTATTTCTTAGATGTTTCTTCCATAAAGATTTTTATATTGGATTAAGAAATAACTTTTCCCAAAGATTTTTGAAATAAGTACAGTTTTTACCCTCTTGTAATGCAGATCTGACAGGAGCTCAAGATGGAAGTGTCAGAATGTTTGAATGGGGCCATTCTCAACAAATAACCTGTTTTCGATCTGGTGGCAATTCAAGAGTTACAAGAATGAGATTTAACTATCAGGGAAATAAGGTATTACATTAAAATGTAAATGGTAAAAAGAATTGATTGTGTTGGAGGTTTTTAAATATCACTAGTTTGGGTTTCTGAAAAGAACAGCTCAGTGGGTAGTAGTAAAGTATTGATCCATGTGGATTTTTTAAAATTCTTCTCAAAGAACACTTAATTTCACTTGTTCTTCCTGAAGTGTGTTATATAGGTGTCCATTAAAACTCATTTAAGTGATTCTTAATGACCAAATCATTGTAAATTCACCTTATATTACACATTTTTTAATTACTAAATGCTCCCACTCTCTTTATCCATTGGAACCTACTCAGTGTGTGATCCAGTAGCAGGTAACATCTACAGCTTATTATAAATGCATATTATTGATCCTTTTCCAGATGTACTGAATTACCATCTGCATTTTAACCAGATATTGTTGTGATTTGTACAAATACTAAAGTTTTTTTAAGAGGTACTGCTCTAGAACAAGACATCAGCAAACTACATCCTAGCCACCTGTTTTGTAAATAAAGTTTTATTGGACCAGTTACCCCCATTCATTATTTGTTTTCTTTGGCTACTTCCTACTACAACAGCATAGTTCAGGAGGACAAAGATCTTATAGCTGACAAGCATAAAATATTTATTTTATGGCCACCTAAGAAAAAGTTTGCCAGCCCTGTTCTAGAGCATCCTTTACTGTCTTCACTTCTCATAATCCTACTTTGTTCAAACTGCTTCCCACCTGCTTTTGGTTTTAGACAGCAATCTTTTATTGAACGGTACTGCTCCTTGTGAAGCAGGGCTAACTCAGAGGCAGTGCACACACAGCCAGCCAAACTGCCTCTTTCTGCTCCTAATATCTTCCTAGCCCTTTAAAAAATAATTAAAGGGTAATTCAACCTTCTCTTTTTCTTCAGGGCCATGCTTCACCAAAAACTACTCTCACAGGCTCTAGCTGATGGTATATCTTGCCTTTTCTTTCTCCTCAGCTCCCAGCCTTAAATTCTCCTCTCCCTTTCCTTATATCATTGTATGCTGCAACCTTTTTTGTTTACCATGTGTGTCACATGGCTCTATTTTCATTTCACAAAAGTCAATCTAGTTTTATGTAGTTGTGAAACAAAATTTTGAGAACTTATTTCTTTTTTTTCTTTCTTTTCTTTTCTTTTCTTTTCTTTTCTTTTTGTTGAGATGGAGTCTCGCTCTGTCGTCCAGGCTG